ACTTTAGTTTATTTTTTTATTCTAATTTATTTACTTTTATCTTTTTTATCAGTAGAATAATTACTTTTAAATTCTCTAAATTCAAAACATTCATATTTTGAATAAAATAAATAAATAAATAATAATAAACATTGGCTAATTGAAAAAATATTTATTTTTTTATATAAAATATTTATTTATTTATAATTAAGATCAGTTTGATTCAGTGGTATGGTGGCTCAACATAGATCATATAATTAAACCAAAAAATAATAACTCAAAAATAATATAAATTAATTCGACTTAACCTAAAATTATCATTAGAACCATGTGATTAATCCAATCTATAATTGATAACTAATAGAAAAAAAATATTTTTTATGTAATAAAAAATTTAAATGAAATTAAACTAGTAAAAAAAGTTAAAGTAATATGCATAAAACCTTAAATTTAAATATTGTTATCATTATTATAACTCTTACTGATTAAAATAAATAAAGAAAGAAAGAAATAGGATTTTAGGAATGCATTCATCACCATGTAATAACATTTACTAGCTTTGACTTTATTTATGATTTTCTCTTATAATTTTAATGCAATTACATTGTCAGTCGGTGCGATTTAAAGAGTTTGATTGCATTGCATATTGTTTGTTTTTTACAGTTTTAAACACTCAAGTTACGTTTGGTCTCAGTTTTCCTTTTTATAGTCTAGAGTCTGCAAGACTTTCATGCACTGTTCTCTAGTACCATGGATTCCATGAGTGACACTTCTTTGCAAGCAGAACATGTTAGATATTTGTTACCTCCTGATATTTTTGAAGAATTGTTTTCTGAAATTACACCAAATCAGGATGAAAATCAATCTGATAGTGGTAATATCACCAATGGCAAGGACAAGGCTGTTGTTCAGACAATTGTTTCTAATCATGAGCAATCAACTCATGAACTCGTTCCTAGTTACCAGGTTTTTATTTCTTTCTTCATCTCCTGTTAATTTCTGTCTAGCTTTAACATCCATTAAAAATTGAAAATGAGAAAAATTATGAAAATTGAAAATTATCAGTCTCCCCTTACTGCATGATGACTGGTCCTGGAAAATTTCAAGTTTTTTTTTTTAAATAATAGTATTTTGGGGGCTAAATTAAACCTGAAATTTTTATCAGAAATGTTGTTTCAACTGACTAATAATTATTTTAAAATATATTATTTATTTATATTTTCATGATATTTAATAAACCTGAGACTACTCTATGGATTGCGATTATTTTTTAAGATAAGCAATAAATATAAGACCTATCACATTATTTTCTTAAAATAGTACTAAACAGTGTGTTACAAGTCTGCAAGTGTGTGATTGTGATAAACATCACATTCCCTAATTGTTTGTAATGTGTATTTATTATTGTTCTTTTGATATCTAATAAATACGAGACTATACTCTATTAATTGTGATTGTTTAAAGATAACTAATAAATATAAGACCTATTACCATTTCTAAATGTTATCGACATTGTTTTAAATTTTGGTTAATTAGTGTGGTATTGATTTAATACACATTATTGCAGGGTGTTGAGAAAAATGTGGAAAATTTACCAATACAACAAAAATATACTTGGGCACAAATTGTTAAAGGAGAGCATAGGAACCATGCAACTTCATCAATGTCTGAAACATCATTTCCTCCGCTGTTATCCACCGTGAGATATCAGAAACCAGAAGGTAATTTTCTTTCTTCTTCTAAATAACGCACCAAATGTGAAATAGAAAGGTGTAAATGCACATTTACTCATGTGTATGACTTTGATGAATATTATTATTATTATTTTAAATATTTATTATATATTCACTACCATATACCTTCTTTCATTTAATGTTTTTTGTTTGAAGCGTTCATTAATTTTTAAGATGTGTCTAAGTTGAACTATTTAATAATAATATTCGATAAGTTTAAAATATTCATAAAAATTAATATATATAATTTGTGGGATAGGGAAAGAA